GTCAAAAGAAAATACAGATTTCATTTATAAAAGCCAATTCAATTGCTCTCCGACTTTTTTCGGCATGTCCTCGCAACATATAAAAGATCGGGAAGCTAATGGAAGATCTAATTTTAATTAGATTTTGATAAAAGACCTGATTTCGACCGTTCAAAAGACCAATTTAACGTTAAAAGTTTTTGAAAAGCTGGCCAAAGTATCGCACGGTAAAATACGTGTATGTTGAAATATGAATGTGCCACTATCTGTTATATCAAAATTAGTTTTTTTCTATAGACAAACAGACGGACAAAGCAAAATCAATTTGCCACCTAATATACAGATATGATAAATAAAAAAAATGAAAATTCTATCATTTCTTTATCTGCAATGACAACAAATCACTAAAAAACATGCCGAGATATGATAGAGTATTTTGCTTAACACATATTTCTTAATAACTAGATGTATCTTTCCTGAGGATACACAACAGTCGAATTATAGTCATGCACTCCAGGCGATTTAACTTCATGCACTGGGAATGATAACCTGGCCTGTGGGTCGGGCATATTGCGAGGTGTGCTAGATATCCGACTCCCGTTTTCTCGTGACGAGGAACTGTAAAGAGATTCGGGACATCGTGATTCCTCTGTAGAAGATGTCTTGGAGTACCGTCTATGATGTCCGCCCCGGTATACAGGGGTCAACCTTCTTCTATGTTGGCCTATTGAAGAATTCTCCCTGGAGGATGAGGATGAGATGCAATTCCTCGCGCACTGTTCTGTGGGGATTTCGTCTGACTTAGCGGGACTCTGTCTAGTCTCGGGGACAAATGGACCCTCCCTATGATAATACTGAGAAATGTTGGAGATAGGGGGGATGGGTCGTGAAACAGACGCCATGCCTCGTTTTCTTGGCGGTTTCTTCCTTACAGAGTCATCTGACGCTGCGACAGGTCTGTTGTCTTCGCCTTGGGTTATTACTTTGATTTCTATACTGCTTATCTTCATCCCCATCTGTGACCCCAGTCTTGTTATAGCTTTTCCTGTGGACTGTAAGCCCGCCTCTTGGGATCTTTGGGTGTACCTGTTGTCTTCCTTTGGTGGGCTACATTTCAATTTTACTTTTTGGTTAAATTGTTTCCATTCTTTCCATTTGGTTATGTTCATGCGTAGGCATATCTGTTCAAATCCGAAAGAAGGAAAAGGAGTCAAATCAAGTAGGTCTTGTGTACATTGCAGTCTCATTAAATGATTTTTCAGAACCACTTTTGGAATACTTACCCCCAACCACACGGAAAACAGAACTAACAGGAATATTCCTAGTATTAAAAGACCCACAAATTCCGCTCTGTAGGGAGGGTATAAGGATGCGCCGTAAATACACAGGGACACCACTGTTAACGTGGTGGGCGACAAAAGACACAGACACACTATATCAAACACAAGGCGCCATCTGTCTCCCACAGTACCAGGGTTGGATAAATACTGAAGAGTTAGAAACCGTAAGCTCACATTAGATGTTCTTCGTCAAACCAGTTAATGTCTTACTCTCTAATATCTAAATTAATTAGTGTCGATACTGAAAACATAAGATTATTAATGCATATACATTTAACTGACTGACATGAATTTCTAACTTGACTTACCATATAAAATGGTTTGGGCCTCCTCTCCATGGCGAAGTTGAAGTGACAAAGTTCACACTGGGTTTTGTCGGAGGAGCCTAACCAACCAGGCTGAAGCTAGCAGCCAATAACAGCAGCCACTAAGCGCGTAGAAGCTAGCAGCCAATAAGGAAATTCATCAAAGAACTGAGAGTACTCAGACGCAGTACTGTTTTAATACGTTATTTTAGATAATTAATGGTTAATGATTAGAAAATTAATGCAACAATTAATTACATAATAAATCAGATCCTCAGAGGCAGTAAGGCTCACCTGAACAATTTTTTTTTTAAACCGAAAAATAAGAAATAAATTACTTTATAATTTTTATCTGAACAAACAAGCACTTGGAAATGGTTAACTCCTTCAGGAAGAATCCCTTCTCAGCTCCTTCAGGGACCTCAAGATTATGACAGGGCCAATAAGCTAACCTGAAATTTGATTAATATAACGATTGTAAACCGAAATATGGCACAAGTATAAAGTAGGTTGAAGTATATTTCAAACATTATTACTGGGACAACTTAATGAATCTATAAGACTGTAAATTACCACTATCAGTAATAAGTGGTGGTGGTGCCACCAAGTGGTTCCAAAAGCATTTTTTATATTACAGGCAGGTATTATACCCATGATTTATAAAGTGATCAAAATTACTAGGGCAAGATAGAAGGGCCCAAGGATGATTATTTGCTGCTATCAGAAGGGGCTTTAATGGTACCACCAGGTGGTGCCAAATGCATGGGTCATATTTCAAGCAATCATTTGTCATCAATTATTTGTGATTAAGTTAAGAGTCTTAGGGAAAATCCCTTGTCAACGTTTCAAAAGATCCCAGGGACCGGAAAGGGCCAG